GCAAATTTGCGCAGGGCAAATTGTGACTCCTCAGAAAAACACCATCACCAACCAGAGGAACCCTTTTGGCAGTAGCGGATTTAGGGAAGGAGGGGGGGGGGGAGACCCCTTGCTGACCCAAAAAGTCCCCATTTGCACTATTTTGAGATATCAATTTTTGGCTGACTGACCTTAAAAATTTCTAAAGGCGCCAATCTATGCTAATTTTGAGGGGGGAGCGCGCGCCGAAAATACGCGAATTTTTGGTCGAAACTTTCTAAAAAGTGCCCAAAAACGCCTTTTTTTGGTTTTTTTCAAAGATTTGCTTGCGGCGCAGAAAATTTGGTCAATCAAGGGTCTTTATACTGGTTTGGGAGAGCTCAAAAAATCAATTTGGTCGACCTGAAAAAAAGGTCGACAAAGTTTTCATTTTTTTTTAAATTCGCCCCCCCCCCCTCGAGAAATTTCTAGATCCACGCCTGCCTATCTTTTTTGCCTAGTGATTCTTCATTAAAATAAAATTTTTAAATAAGAATTCTTAATTTTTTGTGCAAAAGACTCAAATAGGGTCTGTATAGTGTTTTGGCAAACCTAAAAAATGATCACAACGTTTGGAACATTTTTGGTAAATATGCACCCTCATCCACCGAGGAAATATCAAATCTCACCTCAATTAATGTGCGCTGCATTTTCTTTTTTTCTTACTTGATCGATGGTCAAAAAATTTTTATAAATTGAATTTTTGTTTTGACTTTCAAAAAAAATATATCTAGAATTTATACCTGTCCAAGGCGTCTTTTTCTTCAAATCTTTTTGGTGAAAAAAAAATTACGAGTAATTGACAAGAACAGACCGTTGCTGTGCAAATGGCAAAGCACAGGCAGTTACGACCACGTTATTAAAAGATCTTTAGATTTTTTTTAATTGTTTAGTTTTTTGCTCATAAACACTTGCAATACTAATAGAAAACCAAAATAAAATTTGCCTCCAGAACTTTTTGATATATTTTTTTTGGCCGAGGAAGGGCTAATGAAGCTTCATAAATTTATACCTGTCCAAGGCGTGTTTTTCTTTAAATCTTTTTGATGAATGAAAAGTACGAGTAATCGACACGAGCAGACCGTTGCTGTGCAAATAACAAAGCACAGGCAGTTACGACCACGTTATTAAAAGAGTTTGTGTTTTGCATAGATTGGAAAATTAACTTTTTATGCTACCATTAACACTTTAAATAGCCAGAAATAGCTAGAATGGGTCAAAATTACCTTGAAAAGGAAAACTTTAAACCTTGTTTCTCGAAATCCAGAGATTGTTTTAAACACAAATTTGTATGCTGATGAACACACGATTATAAAAGCAACAAATAAAAAATTACTTGATCCAATCTGCTAATATTTTGTAGTGCCTGATTTTGCGTGGAAAAACAATAAAAAAGATTAAAATAATAAAATACACCCAAAGACTAAGTTCCGCCCTACTTTGAGAGGTCAAAAAATAGCTGGCGCTTTGTAGGCATAATGTCGAAAATTGAAAAGAATTTTTTGAAAGAATAAATCGAAGTACTATTGCCCATTGTGATTAACACACAAACGGCGAAAAACCCCAATTCAATTTATTGCAGATTTGCGTAGAGAAACTAATAGCTTAGGGGAATGCGTACATTGGTGTGCTCCAAATTTTACAAAGTAACGGAACAAAAGTGCTCAATTTTGTTTTTCTTCAGACAAATTTTGGTTTTACAAACTATACATTTTTGAAAAACAGGTGATATTATATTTTAAAGATAATGATTTCTGCATGTACAGTTTTAATTTTTTTTTATACAGGAGTAAAGTTTTGTAAAGTTAACGGAACTAGAAAACTGCAATGTTTTGAGATAAATGAGGCCCGATATGCTTTATGCTATTAACGCCAGAGCGACAATGACTGTGGACCAAAAAAACCACCTAAATTGAATTGAAGCAAGCTTTTTTGTGTAACTCTTACATTACTAGCCCTTTGAAACATCACATTTTTTTCATAAAGCAGGATAGGCAGTGTTTTGAACAGTTTTTGTTTTGAGAGTTCATTAGTTTATAGACTCTAACAAGGATAGCCTGTTGTCGTGCAAGTAGCAGAAATTGTCCCGACCACAATATCAGAGATTTTTTTCAAATAAACAAATTTTTCTTGTGCTGATCAAACTATGCAAACGAATGAAAAAAAATTAAATGATTTAGGCATAAATGACTACAAGTGTCTCACAAAATATTTGAACATTTTTCGCGCTAAACGTTTTAGGTAATTTTTTTTGCGCTAAATGAACCGATGCGCTAAATGAAGCTTCAAAAAGATTATTCTTTCAGTAATTTAAGTTTTTCTAACCCCAATTACTAATTATCATATTTCACTCACTCGAAGTTTGACTAAAAATCAAAAATTTTAAAACAATTTTCCTCAACACTGGGACAACGTTATGAAAGTTGTTGATGTTATTCGAATCGACAAAGAAATGGAATTAATGAGATATATCACTCGACCCATTCCGATGATTTTTTGCTGCATGATTTTGCGTGGAAAACAAAAAAATAATATAAAACAAACCAATACAAAGTTCCTCCCAATTTCCAATGGTCACAACAAAAATAATCTGAATAAATTCTGAAAGGATTAGCTTTATCAGTTTTGTTTTATATTGTGTGAGATTTGATATACCAAAATATGTTTAAATATGAATGGGTTTTTTAGAAAATAAAAACTTTTACGCTGGCAATTGACCAGTGTTATCCAACTGATAAATATATATACTTAATATTTTTTGAGGATATATATATATATATATATATATATATATATATATATATATATATATATATATACTTTTTGAGACTAGAAAAGTGTTTAACTGTATAACTTGAATATTTTCGCCCAAATTTTTTTTGCCCATTGAAATAAGCTCTTTCGGTACATTAAACCGAGTGTCCATAATTTTTTAATAACGTTTCATTGGTGCATATGATGGATTAGATCTGGCTGATTCCATCTCAGTTTTATTTTGAACAAATTTAGCTGACTGAAACCGGTTTTTGTCTTTTAATATATGAGACAAAAGGGATATCTTGCTCTTTTTATTGCCTTGCCTGCTTTATGGCGTTTTTTATTTTATCTAATCAGTTTCGTCATTGATTCAGACAGACTGTATTACAAAATGGGGGAACTCATCACAAAGGTACTAAGTTTGTCTGTGCTTAATCGTTGAATTAATCCTGTATGAGATAGCTGAGAGTATTTTTTAAATTCTCTCTAAGTACCCTTAGGGTGTGGGGGTGAGGGGGTTGTGGGGGATTCAATTATATTTGACTAGTTTAAGTACCCAGCCTATAAAAACTGGAACTTATCCAAACTATGAGCTTCAATTTGCACAACTTCCAAATCTTTTCAATATAGTTTTTTGATCAAATTTTTCATTTGACAATGTATTGTAAAAATCCAATTAATATCAGTTATGTTTCTCATAACATTCAGTGGATACCTGTTTCAGAGTGATAGAAACCATCAGACAGCATCAATCCGATTTTACAATAGCTGAACAAAGAAAGTCGTTTTTTAGGCTCCACCCAGCTTAAAATTACCAACACGAATTCAAGTAAACTGAAAAAGCAATAAATCAAAAACGGTTGTCAAAATCTGACCATAAAATGAGACAAAGGCTACTTGATCTTGATCATTTACTCCATGGTGAATTCCATCGAAAAACGCTTTCGACCTTTTAATAGCAGTTCTTCTTCTTTTCGTTAAAAAAGCGCGCTTTGTTTTTGAATTTATTATTATTTTTTTATTTATAGAAGCGGTCAACTTTTACCGACGCTCGGCTGAATTTGTCGAGTTCCCGCCTCTTTTCGAAGAAACAGGAGAAGGTGAATCATCAAAAACTAAACTTCAAATAATAAGAAAAACAATAACCAAGGGCTTGTTTTCTTTTACTTATCTGTATCTCATTAACCAATTGTTTTTTTTTCACTTTTACTTTGTCCTATAACGGTTTTTGACATAATACCTTAAAACTTATCTTGTTTGTTTTATGTTTGTTCTCTTACTAACCACGATTGTTTTTCTTAACTAACAGGGCACACTTGCACGGCTGCTGCTAGAACACCTGTTTTCCAATCAGCCGAGGACCGTCTCGCTTTCATATACTCGGCAACACCCGGACAAGAACGGAAACTAAGCGCAGAGATTTTAACAGACGACCAGCGAAATCAAATAACCGAGTTAAGTCGTGCTGCGACTGAACAAAAATTGTATACAACACCTAATGTAAAAGCAATGGAAAATTCTTTTGACCAAGATTACGTAATAACCGACTACACAATTGATGGCCAGCCGAACAATATTCTAACTCTGGATCCGACATTTCAACTAGCGAGAAGCCGAATGACACGAGAACCGAAGGTTTCACAGGACGACTCGGGAATTTCCGAAGAAACAGCCACGGCTACCTTAAAAGTGCCACCTCATCTGTTCCGAGGATCGACGCTTCAATTTTTGACGCCAAATGAGGAACTATCGATCTCGAGGAACCACAACGTCCGTAGCTTGAATCAGATTGTAACTGAAAGCACAGATGTTTTTGTAATCAAACAAGCTTTAACTCGATCAACTACTCGAGCTGAAACATTGAATAATGCCAACATAACCAAGAAGTTTCAATCTGGAACTTTAAACTTGGACAAGATTGCACCTGAAAGCAGGAGAATTTTGGAGAAAGAGCTGGAAAAACATAAATCAACACCTGAAGATTTGATGCCTCATATTTCGAGTTATCTTACAGAAGAGGAGATACTTTTCCTGATTGATCAGAGATATAGCAGGAGCAGTCAAGAAGATATTGATTCGGTCGAGCACGACGAGGGTTTTGGCGAACTTGCCAAGAACAAAAACATCAAAGTCGAGAAGCCAGACGGTTCACGTTTACTTTTGAACTCGCAAAATGAACTTCAAATGTGTGACGAGCTCACAACCGATCAGAATCTAACTTATAATCCAAAAAAGATCCCTGAATTGTTCAATTTAGAAAGCGATAGTCAAAATTTGCCTATGTTCGCAAATACGAATATGAGAGAACATTTGAATGTACGAAGAATGTCTACTGAAAATCGTCCTCTGGATCGTCCTTTTTCGGAGAACTTTCCAAAGATGGACATGCCACTGGCATCTGATTTTTTCAATCAATGGGAGCGATCTTCACGCAGTTGTGAACCAATCAGATTAAAGCAAAATAGAGACGACCCTTCGAGCCAATTTATGTACAATAACTTGGTTAAAAAAGGCCCGAGGAAAAACCAAAAATCCTTGCTGACAAGTTCAACAAAAAATTTGAGAGAAGTGCTCGTCATTCCCGAATGTGAAGATGGTAGGATTAGTGGCGATTCTGCTATTGGAAGTTCTTCAACGAATACAGATAGTATGTAACTTTCTTTTTCGACAAAAAACTAAGGGGAGACTTTTAGTTTTTCAGTAACAAAATGCGAGCGATGATGAACGAACTCATTTTCTTTACTTTCTTTATACTGACAATTAAGCTGACTTGAATAGACAAAGAGTTTCGCTGTTAGTACTATTTTTATAACCCGTTTCCAACCGACTGAATATCAGTTCGAAATCAGTTCTTTATTTATTCTCGTGTTTTTGTGTGTGTAGCTGTCGGTGACCTCGTGATGCCACATGTTTGGAAGTGTCAGCACTGCAAAGATACTTTCGACACTAAAAAAGAATACGACGATCACCAGACACATTACCACTGTTAGTCCACATTATTTAATTTGTAATTTATAATTATGTAAATCGTTGTTGTAATTATTCAATGACTAAATATGTACGGAAAAAAATAACAGATTAAGAATCTTACAGTTTTTTTTCAGCCTTCAAATGCAAAGAATGCGGGAGTGTTTTTGCAAGTGCAAACGCTTTGGAACGACACAAAGTATCGAGTCATTGTAAGTGAAATTTAATTGAATTGTTTTTGTAGATTTTGGTTATTATCTCCGACATGAGCAAAACATTTCCAAAGCCTTGCATCTTTATCACGCGCGGAGTTGAATCCGACACATGCATAATTATAGTTGCTCTGCAGTTCGACGACACAACCAATATTCATGGATAGTAAAATTAATCGAAGACATTTTTGAAAAGCCGCATTATTCCTAAAAAAAACGATTTCGCAAAAATTGCTAATTGTCTCACAGTAGAAAAAAGCCATCAGTAAAAATGTCGTTCAACCCGAAAATGCTCATGAGTTCAAAAAGTTGTCACTGACATGAGTTTATATAACAATACTTAATTATGCTTTGTTTTCCAGTCGGAACTTTCGAGGACAAGGACGTGAGACCCAGTGAGGAGCAAGTGGGCGTGTCAATGTACGAAGACAGCCAGTTGGACATGGACTCGCTCGATACCCATGGATTCGGAAAGGCACACGACTACCGTGAGTCATAACTTCGATTGTGAAAATATTTTACACTGTAACAATATAAAAATAATATAATATAACATTTTACAAAAGCTGTAAATTTGAGATAATTTCTAATACTATTAATTGGAGAACCAAGTGACCATAAAGCACGCACAGGTTTTAAAGTAGACCCAAATTGCCCAAATAAATCTGTAACTTGCGAGTCTGGATATAATCATAAGTCCAATTTAGCCATCCGCCGATTCTTGTGCTTGACATGATTTAAACGTCGGTTCTGTTTTTTCAATTGACCTTCTGTTTGCTTTTGTTTATGCTTGCATATGTCGTGTGTTTATAAAGTATGAGTGCATGTGTGGTTTGTTTGTGTGATAGTGGCCAATCTGATCCTGTTCGGCTGTGGAGTGTGTCAGAAGAAGTTCACCACTCAAGAAGAGAGTTTGACCCATTTCCACACTCATGGTATGGACCACTATGTCACACTCACCCTTCATTATTCTCATTGTTTAAAAATCTGCAGTTCAAACAGCATAACTGCAATTTTGTAGAAAGTGGAAGAAAGATATAGAAATTAAATTATTCACCCCTGATATCAAAAAATGACATCACAGAATTTCTTTTTCAACTAAAAGTTACAGCATTTTTTTTTCTACAAGTATATGAGCAAAATGTTTCAAGAACTTTTCTTGCTCATAGCTTGACTGAAACCATCTTTCAATTTATGAATGAAACATTCATGTGTTCACGTGTGACTTGGAGTGTTTCTAATTTGTCAGAACTGTTCGGCTGTGACAAGTGTCGTGAGGTGTTCGGGTCTGCGAGTGAGTTGCGTGCACATAAACTGGACAAGCATGGCGTGAGTTGTTCACACTGCGCCGACAGATTCCTGGACGAAAAAGAGTTGAATGAACATGTTAAAAGTGCTCATGGTTAGTTTTATTAACAATTAAGAAAAAATAGGCTAGCATGAATCTTAAAAGTGATCGGCTTTAAAACACATTGAGTCCTAGTGATTTTTTTTCTATCTTTTTGCATGTCTCGTCGTTTTGTTTTTGTGGTTCCTATTCTAAACAACGAAGCTGTCCTCGTGTCTTTGTTTGTATATATGCCAATAACGACATATACTTGACTTGACTACAAATTACAGAAACTGTTTCAGAGAATTTGCAAAAAGTTTTGTCCAATTGTTTCAAACTGTGTTTTTTTTTTACTAGGTTTCTGCTGTGACAGTTGTGACAAATGGTATTTGAGTCAGAAGGAGCTGGATGAGCACTTCTTAGATGCACATGGCCTCAAGTGTCCCAAGTGCTCCTTCAAGTTCAAGACCCAGGACGATCTGGACCAGCATCTAGAAACTGTTCATGGTAAGGGCGATAGTTGTGACTGTTTGCTGTTCAATTTTTATATAGTAAAACAAAAAACAAACAAAAAAAAAGTTTCAAGATAATTTTCTAGCTTAAGGGTCTAGAAGAATGTTTTCGGAGCATTGGAAATAGTCTGATAACTCAGTACAATTGTATCCAGATTTATACTTTTTTTACATAAGAAAAATCGACATATTTTTGACCAGCTGCTAAAGCCTTTAACGGTCTGCAGTTCACTGCAAAGACTGTTCACTTCTCGGAAAAGCTCAGAAAACCAACTAAAAAACTGAGATCAAAACAGAAGAAAAATTCTTCTAAAAATAAACAGAACCCGTCTGAGATGGGTAGCGAATCACAGACCAGTGGCGCCGAGGATCTTTCTGAAGGGAATGAAAGGGCAAATGATGGAGATAGAGAAAGTAAAAACAAAAATGGTTTCAAGAAAAAGGGCCGAGGCAAGTTCGAGAGTGTTAGTTTTTTGTGGTTGCGAGTTTTAAAACAAAGCGGTTTGGAAAAAGAAGTGTTGCACGTTGTGTTATTGATGCGGTTTACCCTAAGTAGGGTTTTGAAAAGAGGGTTGTTTTTCATTTTGTTTTTATACTTGTCTTCCGAATCGACGTGATCATTTTGATTTTGGAGTGAATCTCATCATTTGACAGTTGAATGAATTTGAGTACTCTCGAGATTTTTTGATTGTTCACTTCAGTATGCTGCTGATAATTGTTTTTTTTTCAAGAAAAATCTTTTATTTTTCAGCTCCGAAGTTTGTCTGTCCGACTTGCAAGGCCTCTTTCAAGACACGCGAAGAGTTAATGGAACACAGAGAGAGCGAACATGGTAAAACATCGCAACCATCGATTAGTAATTCGGATTAACTGAAGAAAATGTTTAATTTTTGAATGAAATTTAGCCCCCAAATTTGGCTGTTCTGAATGCGAGAAGAAATTCATGACTCAAGAAGAGCTAGACGAGCATCTCAAATCACATCGTAAATACAATTTGTTGCTCCAAATGAGCATCATTAGAAGTAATTGAAAATTCTAAATAACCAAACTTCATCTAAATTATTTTTTTTAGCTCTGATCAAATGCAAGAGCGAGGATTGCAGTGAGAAGTTTTTCACTGATGAAGAAGCTGACAAACATTTCGAAGACACTCACGGTATGAACTTCATTCAACCGACCATGAAATTTAATAATTTTTAGGCGAACTGGGCTGTTTGAACCGGAACAAAAAAGAACTTGCAAATGTTTAGACAAAATAGTAAATGCGCCATGATATAGTTAATTTTCTTCATCGATTTAATCCTTTTAGTTGGCTTTCATTAATGTAGCTCCATACCCTAAAACATCAATTATACATAGTTTCGCCCTGAAAGCATCAATTATCCACTCCCTTTCATGATGTTCGGGTTGGTTATTTTGCCAGACACGAGTAATTTTGACTCGGATTCGATGGGGGATGGTGAAGGAAAAAATAGTGAGTATTTGGTTTGTTCAAGCGACTGAAAACATTAGTTTGATCACATTTTATTTTGGCCACCGAGCTAGTTCATACTTTTTATGTCGAAATTTTTGATGAAAGCCCGTAATTTGACCCATGTAGAATTCAATTTCGCTCGAAAAAGTGGGCCAGATGCTATAGTTCATGTGCTATGGAGGTAAATCGTGTTACCAGATGCTGGCTGATACTTTGACAAAACAGCTATGTAACTACAAAAACTTCATGACTTAATAGTTAATGATTGGTTGAACGCTACTTGTTCAAGCTCAAAAAGACAATTTTTTTGAGCTCGAAACATCATAACATTATGTCAAAGCACATTTAGATGTAATGGAAAAATTTAACCGCACATTATTTTTAGTTTGAATAATTTCACCGTTTCACATTTAGCGCCCAAATTTGCTTGCAACAAATGCGAGCAGAAATTTTTCACGAAAGAAGAGCTCAATACTCACCACGAGAAAGTCCACCGTACGTTGTTAGCCATTGCCATAACCCTTGTTGTAGTAATTCTGATAGTTTCTTGATTAACTGATACTGCCAACTCGGCTGTCGATTGAGCTGAACTCTAATTGAAAAAAAAAATCATCAGAAAAACGATTGTTGTTCCAAATATTATCTGACATTTTTTCTGCGTACAGTAAGAAAGTTTTCAGACCAATTCTTTTTTTGTCTAGATAGAATTCTTTAGAAAAATTAACTCGATTTGTTTTAAGCTTTCACTCAATAATGCAGTTAGAATTCTAAGAGTTTGCTGATTAAATGAGATAGTTGTTGACTACCCGCACTGACAAACTTGAGATTGAAATCGATGTAAATCGATTGTTATGCAGATAAAAAACTGTATAGAAATCAATTTACCATAGCCATTTAGATAAGTAAATCGATTTGGAATGCATTAAATGGATTTTTACAAGAAAAAAATCATTTTTTTTGCCGAAGAAATGGATTTAAGTCTCAATAAAAGTCAAGAAGCGCGACTAAGAGCAGGAGTCACTCGAGGAGAGTTTTGTACCGCAAGCTTTTGCGTTTAAGGATTTCCCTTTCAATATGTGACAAACTAAGGGCTCCCGGGGTAATGAGAAGTAAAACTATGCAAAATTGTTTCAAATATCTTTTGTATTATCAACATTCTAGGCTCATTAGCTGACTGTCATTTGCACTGATCTCTAACGGGAAAAAACCAGAAAGATGATTGTGATTCCAAAATTTTTATAATATGTTTACAGTGGTTAGTCAGAGAGTTTTCAGAACAATTTTTTGTCTACTTAGAGTTTTTTGATAAACAATGACTTGAACTGTTTTAAGCTTTCAGTCAAGTACTAGTTCTAATAGTTTGTTGATTAACGCTCTAAAGTACTCATTTTTCCTAACCGTTTAAGACAAAATTGAACCGCAGCAAATGATCATAAAAAAACGAAAATTCTCAAAATAAAATTGATAAGTACTTAAATATAAATATTGATTGTTTCACAGAGAGAAGCTCCGATCATTTCGTTTTTTTTTCGGTGTAAATTTTTTTCGTAATTTGAAAGTAAAGGTTGTCCAAGGTTGAAAATGAGCGTTTTAGTTACTACAATCTGAACTTGAGTGTAATATTGCATAACATTGGACAATGATTGTAATAAGAATTTGCTGTTCTTGTTTGTTTTATACATAATCAGAATCAGACGTTTTGCTCTAGATATCCAAAAAACTTCAAAAATTGAAATAACCTGTACAATCAGATAGTGATCGGCTTTTTTCAAAATGGGTAGATGAAAAATAAAACTCTGAAAAGTTTGCTTCTAAACTATTCTCTTTTTTATAAAACTTCATTTAATATCTGATACTTTTTTCATAGAAAACGTTCATCATGAATTCGCATTCATCTTCAGCAGGAGGATGAAGTGAAAAAACTGAAAATTGATAAAATAAACTGTAGAAAAATGAAAAAAAAAACTCATTCTCCAGTATAGGGCGATTGAATGTACTCATTGAGACAATTAGCAGCTAAACTAAAGTATGAATCGCAAGAGAATCAAGTTGAGCGTTTGTTAAAAAATGACCTTCATCCTGTCGTTTGTTAATTTTGCGTATGGAAAATTTAATGTAATATTTTCAGTTTTCTTCTGCTTTTTTCTTGAAAAATGGTAGCTTGATGCGTTGATTGTAATCACATCTTTTTCAATTAGTTTTAATCACAGACTCAAAGAACCCAAAACATCGAGGTGAAAACTTTGCATTTATATTTCTGTTTCCTTCAAACAGTTGTCTTGATAGTTTTGCTTTTAGTTTTGCCATTCATCAGCTCTCATATCCAATCATTCTTTTTTTTGAAATCGTTTGTTCATAGAAAACCCTGAAAATTTCTAGAACCCAGAGGTCTCATTTACAACTTAACTGTTTTTAATAAAACTGTTAATGAAACTGTTTGCACTAATAAAAGGAACTATTTTAGAAGCAGCTAGAATGAGAGGTATAGTAATGTATAGTCTTAGCAAATGATTCTTATTTTGAACAGTTGCTTTAAATTCGTTAAATTCTTTCTCTTTTGCGCTCTATTGAATGCAATTTTTTTCTTGGAACATTTTCAAAAATGCTTTTCTACTGCTTTTTGATTTCATTGTATCTGCATCTATTGAAGATGATAAATTTGATTCAAAATTTTATGCTACCAAACTATTTTTTTCTTTGTTTTTAGCGAGAGCTGAGGTAAATATCAGTTTCAATTATTGAATTTAAATCAATTTTTGTTTCGATTTCTTGCTATTTATTTGACGGTTGAACTTTCAGAGGAAGAAAAGAACGAAGAAGGAGGTTGCAAAACCAGAGAAGAAAGTGGAAAAAGCTGAACCAGAACCCCCACCTAGGGAACCCACGCCAGGTAAAACTGACAACCATTTGCCTCATACAATTGTGAAAGTTAATTCGAAAAATTAATCATTTTTTGGCTCATTTGAATTAAGTTCCAAGATTGTAGTTCTTACACTCTTAAACAATTTTTCTTGAAAGTTGATTTTATGCTGCCATACTTTGGGCAAAAATTGCATAGATCATGAATCAATTCTTATTTTGACCTTATTTTGATGTTCATTGCTTGCTTTCATTAGAGTTTTCGAGTAAAATTGAAGTTTTTCTTTGAATTTCAAATAGAAAACACAATTGAATCTATATCCACATTGTGAATAACTTTTCAGAGCCCGAGCCAGTGAAGGAACCCACCCCTCCTCCCACTCCCCCTCCAGTGAAGACACTAACACCTCCCCCTCTTCCAGTGATTGAAGAGCCAGAGGAAGAGGTATGATATCAATCATGTAGTTTACATCAGATTAAAAAGTTTGATTGAAAAAGATTTCTACTTTTCGCAAGAAATTATTGTGCGATACATCTTTAACCAAATCATGTTTCAAACAAATTGGTATCAGTTTCAGCGTGCTGTCATGATTTTAAAATAGTCAAAGTGTGTGTAATATTTTTGAACCAACTCTAGCTGTTTCTCGACATAAAAGAACAGTCCACAAATTTGAGTCACTTTTACCTTCTCGTAGGTGGAGTCGGAGGAGTCGGAAGAGGAGGAGTTGCCTGGACTGAGCAAGAGGGTGGATCCCTCCAAAATGAGGGAGAGTAGGAAGAAAGCGATGCTCATGTACAACAACATGCACAAGGGAAAGGTATAACACGTACATAACTCCTCACTCACACGAGAAAAAGTGTAATTTTCAATATTCAGAGGTCAAACTCAGAGCACAAGCTTGTTCACACAAAATAAGGTCCACAAACTTATCTGATATGATCGGCAGGTTCTGCGATGATCGTGTTTGTGATATTAAAACAAAAATAATGAGACCATTGGTAATTTTTCAAAATGGATTCGTTGGGTGTTTTTTTTTCTACAGAAGTTAAATTTTGGGAGCAAAGAAGAAATTAAATTGAACTACATAATGTTATATGTTTTGAACTCGTAAAGTTTAATTATGATTCAATATACCTTATCTACTCTATCTGTACTCAATCTGTACAAAGTTTTCGGCAAAAATGTGGTCGTGACCTGCTGTTTGAGTACAAATACATAGTAAGGATGAAACATCTAATTAAAAAAAACTCGCACGACGTATTATGTTTCAGAAGCCGCCGAAGCTGCCGAAACCACTTACGCCGCCTCCTGTTGAATTCGACGACTGTAAATTACATTTATCATGGCTAGATCATAATTTTGACTTGCTTTTTTTTTAATCTTCACATTTTTTTTTTTCAGTTGACTTCCTGTCGAAGTACTGTATCTTCAACAAGGAAAAGTACGAACAGTTCAAAACTGTATTCCAACAAGTAAGTCAGATACAAAAATTCTCTGTTCCATATGTTGATAGGCCAGAAAGATCACATCTCACAACCCCCTCCCCCTCCCACTCCCGTCCCCCTCCCCCTCCTGTATTTTTTTTTCCTAATGGAATCCTTTTGGCACTTTTTTAAACTGCAGCAGAGAAAAATTGATACTTTTGGCTGTCAAAATCTAAAATTTTGCTGCTTTTATATAAATATACACCAATATTTATGGATCAATTACGTTTAACAACGGTAAATTTGAGGTTTCATCAAAATTTTTGCAAACGCGACTGACAGATTGAGGAACTCTAAAATTTTTGGATACTTTTCAAAGCAGGAGCCGATCTAAGGTTTTTGAAAGGGGTAGATCTGAAAAACTCAGCAAAATTTTAACCATATGCCAGCGCCATCACTGAATTGATGAAATAATTAGCTACCGAACTCATTTTTGTGAACCATTTTGGAGAGTAATGGTTTTGACCAAAAACAGATTTTTTTGGTCAAAAAATGACGCATTTGCACTAAAATTACCAGGGTCGGTAGTAAGAAAACCCTCACCCCAGCTTTGTTTAAAAAGAATGTACCTATCGTTCACGTTGCTTTAGGTTAAGGCAACATTATCCAGCCCAGAAATCAACCCAAACAAATGCATATTAGTTTTAAACCTTATCATACGCAAAATCAGGTACCACAAATAATCATCGGACTGGGTTGAGTGACACATCATATTAAAGCTTTTTCAGTCCTGATTCGAACAATATTACAAAATTCCAAATAATTTTTCCAGTGTCCAGAAAGACCGGTTAGAAATTTTTTCGTCTACTTTCGAGCGAGTTAAAGCGAGCGAGCAGGCTGATTTTAGAAGAATAAGACATGAAAATTTAGTTAGCTCTTGTAAAAAAATTTTTGAATTTTTTTCTTGTCTTTTTTTGCTCAATTTGCCTATTTTACTGTGACTGTTGAATTTTCCTAATTTTTACGTTTTCGTTAGATCCTTTTATCTCACAGCGACAGACAAAAACATTAATTTAAAATTGGAAAAACTTTTTTATGTACATTACGAGGCCAAACTGTGCATTCTGTGCATTGTATGCGGATTCCACAACAGGCCAAAGTCAGATTTGTCGCAGAATCCACATCATTGCTACTTTTCTTTGATCTTCTTTGCTGTTATAGATTCCCCTAACAAATACTTAAAACACTGTTCCGCTCAAAATCGCTCCAAAAATAGACGAATTTGCCGAATCCGCAACCGTATTTGCGGAATCCAAAACAGTTTGTGGCGTCCACAAACAAACAATAAGACATGTGTCTAGTTAAATTGTGCTGTTGCAGAATCCGCAACTGTAAGCGGAATCCGCAAATTGTAAGTAGAATCCGCAAATTTTTTTTGAAATCCGTATTTTGTTTGAAGATTACGTTTGCATATATGTACATATGTAGTAGACTTTAAAATTATATCTTTTAATTACATGATTTGATTTGATTGGATTAAAAATTTACTACAATAGAAATTTACAAGAATATATCAGTGTTTGGGATTAATGGAATTCCAAATACTGAACTAACTCGACGATCTGCTATGCGTTGGGTTTCTAATCACTCTCAATCTAAGATTCCAAATATTGAATTTTTTTTCATATTTGTTCCATATTATTCCAGTTTTGGGATTCCATCAATCCCAAATACTGAACAGTATTTGGGATTGATGGAACCCCAAATACTGACCTAATTTGGCGATCTGCTTTGTGTTGTAATTCCATACACTCTCAACTCAATGACTCCAAATATTGATATTATCCGGTGATGTCTTTCCAAAATATTAAAGATGCTATCCACCGATTTAGGTAACCAATGTTTTAAGATTTGTTCGTGGTTTCAGCTGACAATAGTTAAGTCTTTGCTTTTAAATTCCGCATTGCTAGAGATAAAAATTCCAGCTGTAGCTTTTAATTGTTCATACGCAACTTTAGTTTTGAGCAAAATTCGGAATCCACTTTCAGTTTGCGGAATCCAGTTTAATTTGCGGATTCCGCCTACATTTTGCGCCATCCAATTACAGTCGCGGAATCCAAAACAACTAGCTATTTTCTTTTTTTGCGGAATCCACGACAACAAATGTGCCGACAAAATTTACGTTACACTCATATGTACGCGGAATCCACGGAAGTTTTGTAAGTGGAATCCACTTACATTTTGGAACATGTTTAAAGATTAGTTTTTGGAATTCAGGAACATACAGACACAAAATTGTGCGCCTATCCAGTGCACAGTTTAGCCTCGTAATGTATTTTTTTCAGGTGTATGGTCGAACATTCTGTGCTACTTACACAGCAACCAGCTATCCTTCTTAATACTTATTTTTGTGAAACAATGATGAAACAATTAGCCACCAAATTCATTTTTGTGAACCATTTTGGAGAGTAATAGTTTTGACAAAAACAGATTTTGTGGTCAAAAAAAGGCGCATTTGCACTAATGTGAAAATTACTAGGGTCGGTACTACGAAAACACTCACCCCAGCTTTGTTTAAAATGAATGTACCAATCGTTTACGTTGCTTTAGGTTAAGGCAACATTATCCAGCCCAGAAAACAAGCCAAACAAATGCAGATTAGTTTTAAACCTTATCATACGCAAAATTAGGTACCACAAATAATCATCGGACTGGGTTGAGTGACACATCATATTAAAGCCTTTTCAGTCCTGATTCGAAAAACGTTACAAAATTCCAAATAATTTTTCCAGTGTCCAGAAAAACCGGTTAGAAATTTTTTCGTCTACTTTCGAGCAAGTTAAAGCGAGCGAGCAGGCTGATTTTAGAAGAATAAGACATGAAAATTTAGTTTAGCTCCTGTAACAACATTTTTGAATTTTTTTCTTGTCTTTTTTTGACTGAAACCGTTGCTCAATTTGCCTATTTTACTGTGACTGTTGAATTTTTCTAATTTTTACGTTTTCGTTAGGTCCTTTTATCTCACAGCCAGCGACAGACAAAAACATTAATTTAAAATTGGAAAAAAATTTTTATGTACATAACGAGGCCAAACTGTACATTCTGTGCATTGTATGCGGATTCCACAACAGGTCAAAATCAGATTTGTTGCGGAATCCACATCATTGCTACTTTTCTTTGATCTTCTTTGCTGTTATAGATTCCCCTAACAAATACTCAAAACACTGTTCCGCTCAAACTCGCTCCAAAAATAGACGAATTTGCGGAATCCGCAACCGTATTTGCGGAATCCAAAACAGTTTGTGGCGTCCACAAACAAACAATAAGACATGTGTCTAGTTAAATTGTGCTGTTGCAGAATCCGCAACTGTAAGCGGAATTCGCAAAGTGTAAGTAGAATCCGCAAATTTTTTTTGGAATCCGCATTTTGTTTTAGGATTACGTTTGCATATAAGTACATATGTAGTAGCCTTTAAAATATATCTTTCAATTACATGATTTGATTTGACTGGATTAGAAATTTACTACAATAGAAATTTACAAGAATATATCAGTGTTTGGGATTAATGGAATTCCAAATACTGAACTAACTCGACGATCTGCTATGCGTTGGGTTTCTAATCACTCTCAATCTAATGACTCCAAATATTGAATTTTTTTCATATTTGTTCCATATTATTCCAGTTTTGGGATTCCATCAATCCCAAATACTGAACAGTATTTGGGATTGATGGAACCCCAAATACTGACCTAATTTGGCGATCTGCTTTGTGTTGTATTTCCATACACTCTCAACTCAATGACTCCAAATATTGATATTATCCGGTGATGTCTTTCCAAAATATTAAAGATGCTATCCACCGATTTAGGTAACCAATGTTTTAAGATTTGTTCGTGGTTTCAGCTGACAATAGTTAAGTCTTTGCTTTTAAATTCCGCAATGCTAGAGATAAGAATTCCAGCTGTAGCTTTTAATTGTTCATACGCAACTTTATTATTGAGCAAAATTCGGAATCCACTTTCAGTTTGCGGAATCCAGTTTAATTTGCGGATTCCGCCTACATTTTGCGCCATCCAATTACAGTTGCGGAATCCAAAACAACTAGCTATTTTCGTTTGTTGCGGAATCCACGACAACAAATGTGCCGACAAAATTTACGTTACACTCATATGTACGCGGAATCCACGGAAGTTTTGTAAGTGGAATCCACTTACATTTTGGAACATGTTTAAAGATTAGTTTTTGGAATTCAGGAACATACAGACACAAAATTGTGCGCCTATCCAGTGCACAGTTTAGCCTCGTAATGTTTTACTTTTTTTTTACCAGACTGACGTGGACAAAGATGGGTGGATGAGTCCGGTGGAGATTTTGACTGGGCTGAAGGTGTTGGGAGGTCAGTTTGACATCACTGACAAACAGGCAGAGTACATATTCAGGGTCAGTACACCAACGTTACAGAATTTAACTTTCGAAGCTAGAATCCACTTGATTGTGATGATCAAAATAATTCGACCTCGATTGGTGGGAAAAAAGAGAAACGGACTATCCGTAGACAGGCTGGCTAGCTTTCGATAGGTCCTCTGCGAAGCGCAGAAACCAGACAAATCCATTGTTTTTATTCTGATAATCACCTGTGTAGTTCTACTACATTCTTGCACAAATTACGATGAATTGAGGAAGTTTCAGCCCCTATTTGTAACTTTAGATCTCCATGTTTTTTGTGATAAATTTTTTTTGTGTTACTCAAATGCTATAAAAATGCGTATGACTTAATTTCAATTCCAATATTTTGTTTCGTAATGATGCTAATTTTCTTGTGTAGATTCTGGAGGTGGCAGATTATTCGCCCCACTTCGGGGCTGACTTCCAGCTGTTCTGCATTGTTGCCTCTTTAGCCCAGAAGATACAATCAGTCGAGTAAGTATCTATTTACACTAACATACTTTTGATATGCGAAACTTTTTATAAGATTTGTTCTCGAACATTTTTGAGGAGTCTTAGTAATTTTTTGTTGATTTTTTTTCTCATTCCTGTTGTTCGAAGAAGTTTTCATTCACTTTCTTACCCATTATGCTTCAAGTGACCTTCAAATCATAGGAGGTGACAGCTGACTAAATTGAGTAATATTCTTTCCTTTCAGTGACTTCATGAAGAGTCTCATTCGGAATGTGGACCTCGAGATGCTCAGTAGTCGCTGCTTCAAACTCAAGGTCAGCAGAATAAATATGCATGAACACATATCTGTATCAACAGATGTTTGATTCAAAAAACCCAGCTAATCACAAAACGGGAAAATTATGCTGTAATCTTCTAAAAAGCCTAGCAGTTGATGAAAATTGCCCTTTTAGAAAACTTTTTTTTAGAGCCAAAGAAATCGACGCTAGATTGTATCCATTAGGAAGTCATACATACATGTATTATTATGTCCTTTAAAGTAATATTGAGGTAAAAAGAAAAAAATTGACACATTTGATCAATTGCAGCAATTTTTCCTGGCCAACGTGGACGACTACTCTAACGCCATCTCCATCTCCAGTCTCATGCTAGAGTTGAAGGCAGGGGGGATCAGTGGGGATAACGAGCAGAAAGTGTACGACAAGCTAGCCCACCTTCACTGTCTCAACCTACTAGACTTCATGACATACTGTCCCCTCTTTATACTCATACACGACACTGTGATTGAAAACCCATTCAACAGAGAAGTGCTAGTTAACTAGTAATGATAATTTGGCCTAAGAAGACTTTATTAATTGTTGTTTGTCATTGCAAATAGATTATTTTCAATCAAAAAAACATTTCTCATCAAAAATATCATTGCCAAAAAAACAAGTAGGTGGCACAAAAAGCGCGGACTGCAATATTTTTGAAAAAAAATTTTAAAGCATGGAAAATGATATAGTTTGAAAAAAATATATACTTTTACATTTTTTTCTGCATTTCTTGCTGTTGTTAGTATAGTCGGATTGGAAAATGTTAAAAGTTGTAGGAACCAGACATTTATAGCAGAAATAGCAGAAGAGTTGGGTATCATCAAATTCGGCAAAACTTGTCGGAAAATAAGAAAAACTGGCAAATTGTACTCGATACCGCGACAATTTATTTGATTTTTTTTTGGCAATCGAATCGCGGATAAAGATATTAAAACAAGATATCACCAGTTTAGAGGTATTCAAAATCGAGCTGAAGAGAAGTTCATCCATGGCTTTAGTAAAAACAAGTGCGGAGCAGCAACTCGGTGAATTTTTCTGAAAAATGCAATTAATCAAACTGGTTTCATTCGATGCGGCTGCAAGGGCTTTAATAACAGTGACCTTAACGTGAAAAAACTTTTAAAATTTTGGACGTGCGTGGTTCGACTGAAATATTAACCAATAGGCGAGCAATGGAATCCGAAACTATTTCTGCAAAAAAATGAAAAAAGGGAAAAAGAAGAGACTGATCTTGCAGCTTTTGTGCGTAGAATTTTAATAGCGAATGGCTCCAAAAACAAGTAATCGGTCAGTTCACTGCAGAACTTGATTCGTATAACTCGCTTTTTCAAAATAATGCTAGTTGAAAATGATGAATTGTAAGTTGCCGGTCCCCATTGATCCCCTAATCAATGATTTGGGAGAAGGCTGAATTTCTCTTGATTTAGAATCATCGTCAATTTTCCTACTTCAACGAATTACAGTTTTCTTGTCTTTGCATTTCCTCTATTTTGTCGTGTGGGAAACATTAACGCGACGAAATATTATCCAAATTGAAGAAAAAGTCCTCTTCCTTCTAGATAATCTGTTCCATTTAGTTCTTTGTCTTGTTTGCAGCTCATTAAGTTGTTGCTTTGTCCATTGCTTCTAAAAATTTCAACATTGAAGGTTTCAGTAGTCGCAGGTCGGTCGAGTCGTTTGATATTGATGTAACAGATTATTCAGCCTTCTCACAGAGTTGAGTTATGTCCGAGGTGGTTAACTCATAGAGTAATTTCGGATAGGGTACACCGTCTGCTCGTCACGCTATCTTATTTTCGGCCGGATAGATTCGTGCAACTTCTTACTCTAATACCGATCCTAATCTTACTCTTATACTATCTAGTCTCAGGTTGTTTAACTAGTCTCTGCTAGGCTCAATAGATCTAGGGTATACTGGTTTATTGCGGCTGCTGAAGTTCTCTTGGAGAGTCAACTAATTTCTAAGTTAAATTCAAATATCTATGGTGCTGAAATTACAAGTAATTCCAGCACTTACAAATAAGTGGGTTGTTAGTTTGATGGATCATGATTGGTTAATATTAAATACTTTACAGTGGTAAAATATCTAATTTATCCAATCATAAAATGTAGTTTAGATCAGGTTCCACCCATCCGGGTTTTACAGAGTTTTTTAGAATAGTCTTTCTGTAATTCAAAGGATGGATGATGAACGTTGGTATTTGGCGAACATCATATTTCGTCTGGGTTCTCTTGTTAGAGAAGTTCCAGGTTCAATCGTTGTGTCTTCTCATGACAACGACTGGGTTTTCGCAACAAACTCAAATCTGATTTCAGAATGGTTGGCTATGACAGGTTTTTTCGTTTCATGTAGAGAACTTCTTTTGTGTTTGACCTTGTCTGGGAATGGCGTGGAGATTGTGCGTGGAGGGGATGCCTGGTTACTCGGATCTGTACGTATACTTGAACATTGAGGTGGTCATTGGTCTAGTTCAATGAAGTCCTTTTCTGCGAAGTCAAGTCGTACTCTAAATCCTTTGAGTTGTGATTGTGGGCGGCATTTTGATTGTGGTTGGCCATTCTTTTTCGAGTGTAGTGGGGTCATTTTGTCTTTGGATGTTCGTCTTTGGTGTTGTATGCTGATCTATATACTGCAAGGTATAATTTACATTTTATAAAATTTTTATTAGTTCGATGTTTTAATTATGATTTTGGTTAGTTGTTTTCACGAAAGCTTTTTGTTTTAGTTCGGTTATTTTGAAGAGTTACTCACCCTTGAGTACCTCTTATTAAAAATAGGAGTGTGGTCACAAAGCGTGGATGTAGCGCGGTGGGTTAGGCCGGCTATAGAGCATGCTCAGGACGTCCTCTCTGGTGGGTTAGGCCAGGAGTGGGAGTATGATTTCGTGCGGTTTCTGTGAGAGGTCCTGTTATGTGATAACGTTTTATGTTGGGTTTATTGTGGTTTGTTGGTTGTGTCCTTTTTTCAAAAATCAAATTGTTTTTGGTATGGGTTTGTCTTTCGACTTTTTTGTGTTTTATTATTTCTTTCTTAGACTTTATAATAGTCTTCAAAAGAATAATTTATCCAGTTTTAAACTGGGTTAATCCGATTTGGGTACCGTTGGTTTCCTTTTCTTAGTCATGCTGTTATTCTATGATCTGTGGTGTTTAGTAAGCTGCATTGGTTAGTTTTGTTTAGTATATAATTCCTTTCCAACCGGGTTAAAGGAAAGTTTGAAACTTGTTATCGTGTGTTAGAGTTGTTGAGTGTGAAAACTTGAAACTGAAATTCATTATTTTAAACAATTCTTCGTGGGCGAGCTGTGCGAGTTTGGATAGAATTTTTGTGCGAGTGAATGAGATATCAAAAGGTTAGTACTGCATTTTCGTTTTATTAATTTACTACATAGAATTCAATTTTACTGCTAGTTTTGGGGAAAAATTAAGTTACAAATTTTCATCATTATTAGATTTACTGCTTGTGGGGAAACAATTTATAAATTAATTTACTACATTGGTATGAATTTTATTTAAATTTGCTTGTGCAAAATATTAATAGAGTTTTGAACAATTTGAAGAAGTTTTCTATTTTTGATTTTTCTTTTGTGTATTTTGCAGATGATCGTGGGATGAAGACTAAAAATCTAAATAAGACATGGATAAAGAATGGTTAGTGTTTTGTTTTAAGTTTATTAGTTAAGAATATATATAAATTATACTTACCTGTTAGTCGTCGGGGAAAAAACCGTGGGGGAAGATGTCGTGTATTATGTCTGAATTTGTTAGTAATTTTGCTAGTATGCGAATGATGTTTTTAGTTTGAAGCAGTGGCCAAAGCAATTGAAGTGCTTTAATGGTTTTTAGTTCTTCAGTGCCAACTGCAAACTCATAAGGTGTGTTTTGGATGAGATTATATAATTTGTGATTGTATTTAGTGTTGTGGATGAATTCTAATATGGGGATTTCTATAGGTTGAACAAATTCATGTGGGATAAGGAAGGGTCTGGATTCTTCTGCGTTGAAGGTCTTTGTGATGGGACAAAAAATATACATTTGGGTTATGGGATCATAATTGCGAAGAATACCGTGAAGGTTAGTATCTTTGATGCAATATGTGAAATTAAGAAAAAATGGTGAAGTGTATTTTGAGTTAATAAATTGAAAACGATGGTGTGGTTGTCTTGATGGAGTGTGTAGGTCAAAGTGATTTTGTATGAAGCGGTAATATGTATATGTGTGGTTTTGTTTAGTGCGTAACATAATGTCGTGTGAGCAGTGCAAATCTCGTTCATGTGGTGCAAGGAAATGAAAGGTTAGTGAAAATAATGGAAATTTTTCTTTAAAACTTTCGTAAGCTTGTGTGTCGGTTAGTGCTTCTGAAATGATGTGGTCAAATTTGCGATCAAATATATTTAGTGTAAATACATATGGTGTTTTAATGAAGAATTTTTCTGTGATTTGTGGGTTAGCGAAGCGATCATCATCTAAAAATTGGTCTTGGTTAGTTCGGATGATGTTATGATCGTAATATTCTAGCGTATATTCGTTAGCTCGGGGTGCAGTGTATGTTTTTAGTGACTTTTTATATCCGATGTAAGTAAATTGTTTATGTTTTAGTGGTGTAGTGAGTCGATATAGCATATCTTTATTTCGTTCTATATCGATGTGAGTGTTAGATAAAGGTAGGCAAAGGGGGTTAGTAAAATGATAATATGATGTCCATTGAAGTGTAGGCATTAAAACGTGTTCATCTACAAAACTGCGTGTGTTGTTAGTGTCGTTAGGGGTGTTCAAAGTATACTGTGGAAATGAAGATAAGGTGATTGCTAAAAATTCTCTCGTGTTAGTGTGATTTGGGTGATTAATATTTTCACGGGCTGTTCCTGGTTTTGTTGGAAATGGATGGTTTGGGAATTTTCTTTTGAAAGTGCGGTAAGCTCTATTAGTGCTAATTGATGATTCGGTGGATGTGGATGATGGTGCTAATGATGCGGTATAAGCTGAAGAGGGTGTAGGGGTAGGTGGGTTTGATGATTCTATGGTTGATGAAATCTGGTTTATAGTTGAGGTATCAAGGTGGAAGGGTTGTTGTTGTAAGGTGATAAAATTATCTAGTTCTTGGGAGATTTGGGGGTGTCTGGAGAATTGGATGATCGATCTGAATGAAGTGAAGAGTAGGTTGGGGTAACTTGTGAAGCATAGGAGGGTGTAGAAATGGATGGGAGTGGGTTATTTGGTGGGATTGGTTGAAAAGGGGGTTTCGAAAAAACTGAGGGGTTGGTTTGAAAATTATTGGATGGAGATGGTTCAGGGTCTGCAAATTCATCAGGGGTTTCAATATCTGGGTTATTGAGTTGTGAGATGGAGTAAAAAACTGAGATGTGTGAATTAGTGTCTGAATTCATGCCTGATGTTATATTATTGGTTGGGAAATCGGGTGGCGGGAAAGCAAAAAGTGGAATTATTGTAATTGGAGTGTTGAGGTTGGTTGGGTGGGAGTTTGAGCGGTGTAGGGATCCAAGTTGTCGGCTCATCGTGGTCTAAAAAAATTATTATTTTGAGACTGAAAAGCAGTTGTATGTTGTTGTTCTATAATTTGTTCATATGTATTCTCATCTAGTGAATTGTGTGTTACTATACGTTGAATGGGGCTTTGTGATATGGTTGG